GGAAAAATACTATGTATTATAGAAACAGCTGTACAAGATTAAACTTAGGATAAGTAGGAAAAATACTTTGTATTATAGAAACAGCTGTACAAGATCAAACGTAAGATACATAGAAAAATATTTTGCCATAGAAACCACATATAAAATCAAGCTTTAACAGATTAGAAACGTTTCAACTAAAACAAACAGATATAAACACAAACTGTAGATCATTCAAAATAACACAACCTTATACAAACTTAATACAAGGCCTTAGGCAAAATAAGACAACTCGTGTCATTAACCAAATCGAAGGGAACTTCGCAAACAATCAGCTGTGCCCAACAGAAACAGCAAACATCTTAGACAAACAAAAGTACCAATCTTTCGGCAAATAAAGATGACGAAGATTTTGTAATAAGTAACAGCAATAGGCTTTAGATGTACAGGATCCCTGACGAAAGTGAGCACACAACTTTAGTAAACTTTAGCTAAAAGGGAAAACTACCTAGCCAGTTACACAACTAAAAATACAGTAAAGTTACGAACAAATATTTGGCAAACAAACGTCACGGACAGACACTGACTCGTTCAATGCCTGAATTGTTTTGTTTCTTAAAACACTTAATCTAGTGTTATCTTTTTAAGAACCATAATCGGTGCATTTTTCTAAAACAAAGCTGCTTAAACTTGTTCTTAAGATTAAGATGGTAAACAATAAAAAGAGAATAAAGTTACGAAGTTTGTAACACTAGCCTGCTAATATACTGTGTTATTACTGAGGCTTAAAAGAAACATAATAGCATTGTTATCGTTAACAATAATAACACAGGACTGCGATGGTTTTATTGTCTTGACATTTTTACATGTTCTACAATAATTCCTGTACGCTGAATCCGAAAATGATATCCATTTTTCTCCATCACGTACAGATTTTTCACAAAACGTCATAAAAGAAAGACCACAACACGTAGTTTTGAGACTAAAAGACGTAGATTTAACAAACAAAAATCATGATGAATGAGGATGAATATTCTTCTCTTTTCTTCAGTTTGTTTGTATTTTTGTTAACAAACATAATAATTATAAATGTTCATTGTGGTAAACGAAATAACAATTTGATCTAAGTAAGAATTTTTTTTCTTCCCGATTTGTAAAAAAAATCCTAACGTGATAGAAAAAAAAAAGAATATTATTTTCAAAATCTGCGTAGCTGAATTATGGTAAATCCGTTATTAAAACCAAAACAACTTTTATGAAGATTAAATTCGCAGAGCCGTGTGATTCTAGAATTTAGGTAAACTGAAGAAAAACGCAGTGTAAGTTGATCATGTAACAGAGAATAGTCGGTAGACAAAGAGATCAACATTTTAGAAAGACGGTAATTTTCAATAAAATATTAACAAAACAAGACAGAAACAACAAAATAGTTTACGAAAACACATAGAAGATAGGAGATGCAATACAAACAATAACTGACACAAACATAATTTAAATTTACTCAAACAAACATATTTCAAAGCTGTGACATGATAAAATAAATACAAAACTTGAATGAAAAAGAGTTTGGAGGATCTTACACATAATACATTTTCTTCGATTTTATTCTTACCTTAACCCTATCGTTAGGGGTCAGAGGGCATGTCATCACGTTTGTAGACTTACATTCGTATTTTATTGAACTACTATTTTATTGAACTACTATTTTATTGAACGTATGTCAATAACTTGAAATCAAATTGTAGACTTGAATTCAAATTTCAGTATTATACATTAATTAATTTCTTCATTTTAAAGTAGGCATTAAAAATTGACTAAATATCGATTTTTGTGTGTCACACTGGTACTAAATATCGATTTTTGTGTCACGCTGGTAATAAACATCAATTTTTGTGTCACACTGGTACTAAGCATCCATTTTTGTGTGTCACGCTTGTACTAAACATCGATTTTTGTGTGTCACACTGGTACTAAATATCAAGTTTTGTGTGTCACGCTAGTACTAAACATCGATTTTTGTGTGTCACGCTGGTAGTAAACGTCGATTTTTTGTGTCACACTGGTACTAAGCGTCGATTTTTTGTGTCACACTGGTAGTAAACATCAATTTTTGTGTGTCACACTAGTACTAAACATCGATTTTTGTGTGTCACACTGGTACTAAACATCGATTTTTGTGTGTCACGCTGGTACGTCATCTTCTGGGATTGGTCAGATTACATTCTATGACGTCCTCAGTACAACGTTTATAGTTTCAGACGAATTATAAACTCAAATTAGAGTTTTTACTAAAAGTTGTGTTATGCCTAAAGCAAGAGGTAGACGCTTCAGTTGTTGTGTGAAAACCACAAATGTCATTCGGAAAGAGCTTGTAATCAAACTTAATGACAGTTTGATATCTGATCTAAAGACAGTAGGTGGCGTCTCAGTTATATTATGTTACAAGTTAGAGTTTATTACTCCCCATAGATGTAAATATACAATAACTAATCTTCTTTAGATAGGAACTTGTAATTATTAACAGCAACAAATTACGCCAGCTAGCTATGGAGCTTGATTAAGTTCGGATTTGCATCTTAGAGAGAAACTTTTCATTTTGATAATGACAAGAAGATAAGATGAAATTATTGCTTTCATTATGGCGTTCGAACATTGCATTTATTTAGTGATTAAATGAAAATATCACCCCCAAGTGCCTCCTTTCGTGCTCAATTGACGTGAACTAAACGAGGACTATTAGAACGTCCCTTAAGTTTTATTTCTATTGTGGTCAGTATGGAGTTTAAAACTGAATAACACGTTTTCTTATGATAAATATATTATCCCCAATTGTATACGTTCATCAAATGTGTTCTGTCTAACCTGTAAAATATAATGGTATATAAAGTCTGAATTATACGTATACGGTTTAATTGTCAATAATAATAAAAAGGATATGTATATATATATGTATATGTTATATTTCTGTCTGTTTCGAATAATAAGTTTATCTAACATTGCTATTACGGAACAAAGATTTTTTTCAGACACGTATAATTTAGAGATTTGTTTGTTTGTTTTTGAATTTCGCGCAAAGCTACACGAGGGCTATCTGCGCTAGACGTCCCTAATTTAGCAGTGTAAGACTAGAGGGAAGGCAGCTAGTCATCACCACCCACCGCCAACTCTTGGGCTACTCTTTTACCAACGAATAGTGGGATTGACCGTCACATTATAACGCCCCCACGGCTGAAAAGGCGAGAATGTTTGGTGTGAACGGGATTCGAGCCCGCGACCCTCAGATTGCGAGTCGAGTGCCTTAACCACCTGGCCATGCCGGGCCTGTTACAAACAAACACTGATTTAGAGTGACAGGTTGTTTGTTAGGGGCTTTATGGAGCAAAACAGCTAAGTTATCTGCACCAAACAACCGTTAAAAAGGCAAAGATAAATAAAAAATATATAAAAATGTAAAAAGACAAGTTAAACAATGCCCAAAAATCAGGTAAAAAATTATATAGGATGAAAAAGACCAGTGGCCTCCAAAAGAAAAAAAAATACACGAAAAACACAATCATGCTGGACAGTATCACCATCGCCAATGACACTATCCAACGTCAGGAGTAAACTCTTAGAAAATACATGTCTAAAATGGTGCCGACGCTCATATTCGTAACGACGACACGAAAGTAATATGTGGGCAATTGTGATCTGAGTGTCACAAATGCTACACATTGGCGGATCAGTCCCACATAAACAAAAACGATGAGTAAAAAAAACTGGGACCAACGCATAGCCTAGACAAGACAACTCCCTCCCTCGAATCTTTACGGAAACTAGATGGCCAAAGAACAATAGAAGGTTTAATTTGGAAAAGCTTGTTACGAACTTGCTTACCACAAATCGACTGCCAACTGGCTCGAAGCCGTGCCTTGATCACAGGACCGTAGTCCAAAATTGCAACAGGCTCAGTTGTGACAACGCCAGAGCAGACGGACTTAGCTGCGGTGTCAGCAAGTTCGTTCCCACGAATACTGGTATGTCCAGGTATCCAGAAAAACCGGATAGAAATGGATGACAGATGACTCAAAGAAAGATCACAGGCGGAATGTAGGGATGAACTGATCTTCGAACTCAGTAACATCATCCAATGACAGACTCAATTCAGCCAGCTGTGCCTGGATACGAAGACCAAATGGAGGAGTGGCAGACCGCCGATTCTCAAAGAGTAAAGCCCGCCGAGGAAGGAAGACACAACCCCAGGTGGGATGTAAGGATCGAAGCTTGATAGCATATAGCAAAGAAATTTGCAAACGTTTGAGGTGAAGAGGAGGCTCATGGGACTTAGAGTACAAACTCTGGACCGGTGAAGAGCGGAAAGCTCCCGTGCAGAACTGAAACCCCAGATGGTGCAGAGGGTCCAACATTTTCAAGGCAGAGGCCCTAGCAGAACTGTAGATGATAGACCCATAGTCCATCTTGTATCGTAAGAGGGCACGATAGATCTTTAGCATCGAACATCGATCCGCTCCCCAAGAGGTGGAAGAAAGGACTCGGAGGATGTTCAGTGCCCTTGTACACTTTCCACGAAGCTGCTTAATGCTTAATGTGAGGAATAAACGTAAGCTTACGGTCAAAGATAAGTCCCAGGAAGTTAGTTTCAGCCACCACAGGAAGAACCGAGCGAACAGGTCAAATGAACATAAGTAAATAAATGTTTTGGGAATCAATGACGAAAGAAAAAATTATTCTTACCATACAATAAAAGTTGTTCTATATTATTGAATATAGTTGTATTCCTTCGATATTTATTAGCGCCGTTTCAATATGGGCATAATTTTGGCTTCTATAAGTTAAATATAAAATTCAACAGGGTAAATTATATTTTTCAAAATCTCTTATATCAAGGATTTCTTTGGTTTCAGAGATGCAAGGAGAAGCTGGACACACTAGCCATTTCAGTAATGAACGAGTGGCCAGGGGTCAAGGTTCGAGTTACTGAAGCTTGGGACGAAGAAAGGTTTCACGCCTCTGAATCGCTTCACTACGAAGGTCGAGCAGTGGACATCACGACCAATGACAGAGACAGAACCAAATACGGAACCCTGGCTAGATTAGCGGTGGAGGCAGGTTTTGATTGGGTTTATTACGAATCTCGTTCTCATATACACTGCTCTGTAAAATCAGGTAAGCCAAGAAATAACCTAAAAATTAAGAAAAAATTATTTTAATATTCGGTGCCATGGAGAAACACAAAGTATTTCTGTGTATCTCGAGCTTGAACTTTAAACCCTATTTTCTGTAAGAATATCAGTAACTCACTTCCTACAATTCATAATTTCATAAAAACGAAAAACGTATTAACGAAAAAATAAGCAAAAGTATAAGATAATTAGCAATAGCAATTCAACATAATATGCCAATAACTTAGCGCCGTGTTTAGAAAGAAGGATTTTATATGAATTACTTAAGTAATTATACGAAACTTGTTTACTTAAGTTTCTTTAGTGGTTTATACGCTTCAGTATTTTGAGATATATCATCATGTAATTGCCTTGCAAGTGTCATTCTACCAGGCCAGCATTACTTTATGTGTATTTTTCTTTCTAAAGCCAAACTTAACTAAATCCCAATCACTACTTTTAACAGTTAATTAAGCCTAACAGAATTTTGCAAAACGACAAAACAAAAACACAAACCCTTAATGAGTTAGTATCTCTATATTCTTCAGCTTAAACAAATAGTTAAATTGACACAGCTTTCTTCATTACCACCACCTTCTTAAGTTATAGTTGAAATTAAGAAGTATAATTCCATACCAGTATATTTTAAACTATAATATAATGTTTGCACGTACCAATTTTATTTACTGATTCAGTAAAATATTGTTTGTATCAGTGTACAGTATTTTTTCATAATCCATCTAGTTTCGTTAAATTTGTACCTTTAAGTTTTTTACCTTAGTACAAAACAGCGGATATCCTGATGAAATTATTTTGGTGGCTATTATTAATTTGAAAACAAATAGCAGAGACAATGCATCTTATCTGAATTGAGATCGAACTAAATAATATAAAATACATGCTTTCAATCAAGCAACTGGACATTCAAGTTACTAGTGATCACCGAAACTGTTATTATTATTTAAAGTTTAGTTTTATGCAATGTACAGCTGGGGAGTTTCCGGCTGGTATATATAAAAACAAACTGGTAATTCATGGTAGTCCAGTATGTTTAACTGCTTTCTTCTTCACAAGTCTCCTGGAAGGTAAGCGGTAAGTTTACAGATTTACAAAGCTAAATACGGGGTGCGATTTCCCATGGTAGACAGAGCACAGATAGCCTATTTCCGCTAAAACAAATATTTTTGATGGGTGTTGCTAGTCTCGTCATTATTTCTATAAAATCTGAATAATGGAGAGCAGGTTCTGTAATTTGTGTATGATTAATCCTAAAAATTTTCCCCAAGAGATTTCCCTAGGTTTGGAGTGACATAGGAATATATCTAATATGCTTGTAATACACAATAAGTACCAGTGGTACTGCCAAAACATTTCATTAAATCTAACTTTTTACTTTGTTGCAGTATAGCTACTTAAATTTCAATAAATTCAGTAGAAACAAACGTGCAGCTTATTAACCTTCCGGTGGCTCAGCTGTAAGCTTGTTAGGTTATAACGTTAAGAATTGGGGTTAGATACTCGAGATGGGATCAGCGTAGCTGGTCTATTAAATATATATAGTTTTGCGCTTCAAAAAACAAAAATAAATAAAGAAATTTCGTCATTACAGGGCAAGATCATGCTAAATCTATACAGACATATAGAGGCTGAAAGGCTTTTTTTAATAACATTTCTTATTTTTCCATATTACTTGGATATTTTACTTGCTTTTTACTGTACTGTGGATAGTTAGTCTTTCATTTTTCAATTAAGAAGTGTGTATTTTAGTTGAATCATTAATTATTTACCATTTTGGCAACGTTTTTCACCACCAGGAGAATATTTGGATAACTTTTATGTGCGTTTTCGAAGTTACTTTTAATATCTTTCTTAGAAATGGTTTGTGTTTGATGATTAGCTGCAATATACCTTATGTTAACTCTAAAGTTATTTACATTTTAAACTTTTTATACAAATAAAACAATTTATGACTTTAGTTATACGTGTTTGTACACATTCACGCGAGCGCTTGTCATGCTAAGTCTTATTTCTAGTTGAAAAACTATTGCATCATATTTGCATAGAACTTTTTCAATTGATTGTAAAGTTATTTCTCCTTTTATAAATCGAAATGATTTCATACATATTAATTAATATTAACTTCCGACTAGAGCAAGCTATATACTTAAAATACTAAAAATCCACCTGGTAATGAGTATAGCTAATTAAAGTTTGATTATAAATTTGGGCACTTTTTTGTAAAGTAAGAACCCTGCTCATAAGTTCATCTTGTAATTTCTAAAGTCTATGTAAGAAAAGTCCTTTTTTATCTTTGCATTTAAGTTGCCCGAGGCTGACATTTATTTCTGTGCTTTGAATTGCACCACTTACTAAATTTATTAAACGTTTCATCTTCTTAAAGCATACCAAGTAACAATGTGAGGGAAATTTGAAATACTGGTGATACTAGTGGTTAAACTAAAACATTTGAAATTATTAAAATAGCCATTAGTACAAGACTCGTGTTTGAAAGGTAAGCCAGTAATAAGTTTTGTTTTCAAACTTTAAAACTAGCTGTGATATAGCAATCTTTTTTTCTCTCGAAATTTGCATTTTATGTGACCAAGGATCGTTTTATGTGAGCTTCTAAAGGAAAACCGTGTAACTAAAATTAATTGTTTAGCACTTGTATAATTCTTTTTCAGTAGCTAAGGTAAGTCCTGTAACGTCCCATCTGTTCTGTTTCGTGTTTTCCAGGAACTAGGATGAATATATGGAGAGTGACTAAAGACTGCAGACTAAAAACAAAGCAGCTTTTTACACTGCAAGAGCGCTATAAACTTGCCAGTATAATATTACTTTCAGTACGCTTTTGCCGTCTGTTTAGTATCTCAATAGAAATTACGGTCAAAATGCTTACCCTATAACACTTTTGAATATATACATACGGTAAATGTATAATATACAACCTTAACAGTTTGATCTCTGAAGCAAGACAGAGAGTAGGTGGATTTCCTAATTCTACGTTTGCTTTGAAAACAAAAAGCTAATTAAACGTAGAAATTCATTGTCATTCTTTAATTATCTGATGCAAATCTTCATGTAATAAATTGTTATATAATTATATCACAGATGATAAGTTGAATTTTGCTGACGTCATCGCAATAAACCTGTCAAGAAAAAGTACTCAATTATGTAAGCTTTATGGGCGGTCTGAAATTCATAAGCTATATTCGTTCTCCATATCTGTTATTTATTGTGTACATAATTCCACTGAAGTAAAAGTTAAAGAATAAAGTAGTTACAATGTTAATTTTCCGTTGTTCGATATTTTTATCTTAATTAAGAAAATAGGAAATACATTATTAATATTCCTATGATGATTATTTCTAATTAACACGTATTTCTTTTTCTAAACGTTCTACTTGCAAACAGGATTGGAGTCATAGTTATGTAATCCAAAATGAACCTTAAGATAGCCTGCTTTATATCTCTTGCTTACCTAGTGAATTGTTCAGCATTTGTTCAAACACACTTTTCAACTTTGCAACAAGTAGGTTGTTATTTCAATTCATACACACATAAACTACACTGTATTGTTTATTCTGATAAACATAATTAAAGTCACCCACAAGAAATTGAATTAAGACTTACGAAGACATGCAGCGGTGGATCTGGTCATCCTCCTAAGATCTAGAAACTATGGTCAAGTGTGTTCATGTTACTTTAAACATATGTAGTATGCAATGTCTGTGAAAGCCTGAATGCACCAAGATGGAAACAGAATTGCTGTGTAAATTAACAGTTATCTGCAAGCAGCAACGTAAAGCCCAGCAAAGGTTCGATTAAACCATGGTGTAGTTTAGTAAAACTGCACTAACCCTGCCACATGATAAATTTTAAGGTGTTTATCTGAAACGTATAATTAAAGGTAAAAAAAAAGAAATACATAATTTGACAAATGTATAAAAAGAGATGAAAAAACAACAACTACTGATTGTGTAACTATAAAGCTTGTTCTTGAATTACATAAAACACATTTCTACTGAAGTTTGTCAACTACTTTCCCGGCATTCCAAGTATCATGCACGAATGGGTTACTGGTCTTGGAATAATGTTTTAATGCAAACATTTTTTGGTGAGTTTTGTAAAGTTATCTAACATATATAAAAGCCAATATGTGTGACGTCACGCTTGATTTCTCGAAATAGGAGGATTCATAAAAGCCAAAATGCATTTATCAAGATAGAATAGTTCGATTACTGTCTGCCCATTACGACTGTAGTAACGGAGATGCAAGGGGGTCATGAGGGGTGTGTGCCGTGAAACCTTATAAGTGTAGTGATTGTTGGTATAATATGCCTAAAGTAAAGGATCACCTAGCCTAGAACCAAGTGCATAAAATTTATCATGAAAGTAAAAATATCGATTCAATTCTAAACGTAAATCGTTTCTCAACTGTTCCTAATAATTTGTATATCGTATTTATGGCATAGCTACTAAGGTTATCTACCACCGACCTTAATTTTGAACTAGTGACCAAATGGAAGGCAGCCAATCAGCAACACCCTATCACCCACGCTAAGGGATTGACGGACATTCTTATAATACACGAACAGCTTAAAGCGCGGAGAATATTTTGTAGTATCACATGGATTCGAACCCGCCTCGTCAGCTCCGAAATGCAGCATTCTATCACATGTCAACTTTCACCCTCCTGTGAACGCTCTAGCTGTAATGTATCACGTGTCTGCTGTTTATTGTTATGAAGATATCTCGATACAGCGCATAGTAGCGACGATCATTTGTTTTAAATAACTGTACACTGGCACTGTTACACCTTATTATGAGACACTGATGAGTTTTTATCGCAGGTTATTTAAAGTATAACAAAGATCATGTGGTGTCTCTCTTTGTTTTACAACCACACGTCATCTTTGATAATTCTAATAGCTGTCATTCTTACTTGTTATTGGCAAATCTTATTATCTTATGAAAAAGTATTTTCTAATTTTCTAGAGAACA